TCACTAAAACCCTAGACATCTGGAGAGCTGGAAAACTATTGACGCCCCGACTGGACTAAATCAAGATTATCGCGAGCTAAATAATACCTCCCAAGGGAAGTAAAGTCTTTAACAGATGCATCGCGAAGCTCGTACCAACTGAATGACCGAATAACAGTTCCCAATTTCCCATCCAGAAAATGCTACTAGATTTTCTTAAAAAATAACCAAGTAGAAAGACACTTTCCGATGCTCAGCAACAGGAATAATAACTCTAAGATAACTCCCCCTCCGGTCACATGAAAAAAATCATCTTTCAGGCTGGCATTTATCAAAAAATTTGTCAAGACAAATGTTGCGAAGCGAAGTGACAGTTGTCGCCACGCTTCAGAGATGCACTCGATATGTAACTGGAAACGATCAAACCTAAAGTTCTGCAAAAAACCTTGGAAATTTTTTTCTGCTGGGTCTCACCAGTCAGCAGCATAATTTTCCTACTTCAGCCCTGCTTATCGTCACCCTCACAATTTCCTACGAAGAACTCTGCCGGCAAATGCTGCTTTAGCGATACTTAATCAGTGCTGATTCATATCCAAAAGCGACCCGGTAACAATTGAAAACGAATAATTTGCCAATGACGCAATTTTCCTCCAAAAGCAGTGCTTAATGAGTATTGTTCACATAAGGAGTATTCTCGCCCTCCCTGAATCCATTTTACTGCCGTCCGCAATATCTTCATCAAAAATACTGTCATTGCGAACCCTGTAGTTCACATTACCTTGAAAATATAATTCAGTAAACCTTGTCCTCAACAGCATCTCGCATCTAAGTTCAGAAAAATAGATGCTCTGAAGCAGTGACTGCTTTCCTAATCCCCGGACGACTCATCATCAGCGACCACCCCTTTCAAAAATGTTTTTCTTCCCTTCCAGCAAAAAATTTATTGGGAGCTCGGAAACTGCGACCTTCAGATTAGCATTTAATGCTCCTCTGCCTTGATGTGCTCGTCCAGAAAAAGAAATTCTTCTGTCGATAACTCACTTTAACTCTTCGTTTTTAAGGAGTTTCGGTTTTCATTTATCACAGAAAATACAATTCCATACACAATTTCATTAAGTTTAACGATGTTTCATTTCTTTTAAGGTACTGTGCGGCACTAATTCTAGTGGAAATGGGTGGTATTGGTTCTCTATTATTAACTACTGTATTTCCGGTGCGACTTCACATTGGACTTTTCTTGTATAACTAAAATAGCTTCTCGCCCACCTCAACTGAAAAGGAACACTCGAGAAATACAAGCGAAGGCATCACATCCTAACAAACAAGTATATCGACTGCACGCCTTGTTTAGTTTCCATTAAAAAAGAAATAGAAACTTAGAAATGAAAGAACCATAAATCAAAAAATTTATAAGCAGTAGACAACTGAAAACACATGAAACCGAAACTGCAAAACATTTGCTAATACTTCAGACTGCGCTACCGTGAGGAGTAGCAGAATAGAAGTGCAACTAAGAAGTCAACGGCGGTGATATCAAAACAAATGAAAGGTAAAAAGAGGGCACATTTATAACGGACTACAACAGATACAATATACCCAAATTCTTTCATCGTTATTTTCAACTGTGCACATCCCAGAAAAAATGTTTAGTAGAAATTTCTTAAAATGTCAGGCACAATAATTTAAAATATAACTTAGCATAAAAGTAATGTGCAACTTAAATAACTGCCTATGTAATTCTAGATCTCCTGCAACTTTGTCTAGTAAATCGAGCATACTCAAAAACCTGCAAATACAGTAAAATAATAAAAGTAGACCCTCTCTATAAAAAGTTTTTTAATGAAGTAAGCTGGTGGCAAAAAAAAAAGGAAGAAAAGTTCAACTTTTGAGGTCGGCACGCTGAATTAAAACGCTGACTCCTTTAGCCGCCTACGTTGCCTGACCAAAAGCAGCACCGTGCGACACGCGCTCGTTTGGTCGCTCACACGGGAAATTGTATCGGCATGATTGGGAAATAATTCATTCTTTGTTTCTGCTCTTTGCAGAGAAATTTGTACCAGGCCATTGGTATGATGTTGTGTACGGGCCAGTGTCATCTGGATAACCGAGCTGAACAACTCATGTTGTGCGCCATAGAAGTGTATCCAAATATGAACAGTACTGCGAACGAAAGACTGTATAAGATTCATATAAAATACTTTTTCTGTTCCTCCTCAATTCAATCTGCAGTAGTATCATTTTCCTAGTGTTTCCGGGTGTACTTCTTATCATTCACCGTACCACCAGTGACACGTCCAAATATTTCGAATCCCAGCAAGGGTTAAATCGTTAATCAGACGTCCACGAGTCGCATGACTGTCGCGAAATCGCAGCACCATTATTGGTTTACGAGACTTTCTGTGGAGTATGGAGCCCGCCAGTCCCGAACTTGCTGAGGCGCAGCGGGTCTACTGTGACAAACCTATAGCTCTGAATGTTCCGTACTGAAGTCTCTTTTGAGGGCAAGTATGCAGAGTCACACAGAATAAGGCATTGCGGAGTAATGCCTCAGAACGGCATGATACACGTTTTATATGGTTTTCTGAAAAACTATGTTTACCGCGTATTACTTTTTCCCCTTATTCTTCCCCTAAAAAAAACTTCTTATCTTAGTGTTTCCTTGAGTCTCTGAATCACCGTGTAGCTGAGTTTTTCCATTGCAATTCAGTCATTAACCTTTCATTTGTGGTGCTTATTTAGGAGAGGAACCTCTAACTCCTTGAAACGCAGAGCAGCCCAGTAACAGCCTAACAGCCTACCTAGAAGCTATAAGCCTGGTTTCAAGTGAAGCATCAGTTACGTCAACAACCCATCGAAATCGCTCTAATTCTAGCCTACCGATATAAAAAACAAAAGCAGTCTGCAAACCGGCATCAACGCGGTCAGTGTAACATGCAACACGTCTAAATTTGGCTTTTGCGATTATTGGCTAGTTTTACGGTATGCTCAAAGCAGCGGAAAGTCCGTTGTCTGAAACAGCGTTACAATCTTGGGGAAGCTTTCAATAAGCTAATACTGAAATAACAAGATGAAGTAAGTACTTCATTTCAAGTAGCAGATGCTGCCATTCTTAATCGAAAAAATAAAGCTAATAGATTTACAATTTTCGTTCCCATTCAAAAGATGGTGTAATGCAACATAAAAAAAAATCTCCCTTTTTTGAATTCCCTTACAGTAAACTTAATCGCAGTGGAAAACAAAACAACCTTTACCTTTTGCTTCCCTGCAGTACCCTAAGTTTGATTTAACTTTACTTTAACATGACTTCTTTGTCACGGTCAGATCCCTTCTGTCGACCCACCGCAGCCTACTTCTGATTCTCTGAGCTCTCTTATGTCGAGCTCTATCTGGTTTCAGTTTACTATAATTACAGTCTCTACTTCTTTATAGACTTGCAATAAATGAAGATTAGTGATCCAAATTCTCGCTCTTGGAAAGGATGGAAACGATTTGATTAATAAAAAGTTTATCAAAATAAAATTTGGAACAAATAACAAAGACAATTATCAATGGACAGACGACTAGTAAACAATTTTATAGGAAAAGACTTCTGCCAGTATTTATGAAAGAGAGAATTCTCCTACGAGACAACAACCAAAGAGTGTGAAATACAAAATTTCAGTATAAGTAAACTATGACTTTTAAAACTAACTGATAAAACCAAACTTAGTTGCGAAATTTCACTTACCTTTCAAATCGTTCCAAATTTGAGCTTTAGACAGATAGCAAGTTAGAAATTATCGCAAATTTGAATTACTTAGAAAACAGAAATAAAATTGTTCACGACCTTTTTCAACTGAGCGAACAATAAGAATAAACAAAACAAATTCCCACAATATCCTCACAAATAAGAAAGTTCTCTTTTGGGATATCTGCCCTATGGCCTTCCATGGAAGGAATTTTTCTTTGTTGTCCAAAAACAGGAAGACAAAGCGTTCACCATCTCAAAGCATTATTAGGCTCCGGAAGTTCTTTGTTTTTTAATGACTAATTTGTGTTTCTTTGTGTTTTTTTTGTACAAAACTGATGTTACATTTTCAAAACTTTACAGTATCATTGCCTATGTCGATAAAGTCATCGACAGATGACTGAAAGAAAATAAGCGCTTTCTTTACATTTTGAAATTTAATCACTCACTCAGTACAATACCATGAGGATCACATGCACTCCTTAAGAGTATAAAAGTCAGAACTTAAGCACTGGCTTTAGTTCGCAGGAATGCTATATTTCAACTGGTATTTCTCAGATTCATTAAGGGTTGCACAATAAAACTTTCCCAGAAACAAAATTTTTGTACCGATTGAGGGAGCTGGTGAAATTAGTCGCACTCAAATAAGCGTATCGTACTAAATGATCAATTCCGTTCTGTTCTAACTTGCAGTAATTAATGAAATACATTGCTGCAGCTTTATGATTATATTATTTCGTTAGTCGAATTTGATATAACTAAGGCTTGTGGATTGCCTGAGAAAGTCAAAGGTAAAAATGACATGCATCTGCTCTGAGCGGTTTTTAAAGTTATTAATTATGCGATCAAAACACTTTATACTCCATTTAAAAAATGTTCAAAATCATGAACTGTTTCTGAGATACGAAGCTACCCATAATTAGTCCAGCACATAAAACAAAAACCGAAGATAAACTTATAAATTTCACATTTATGATTATGATCCGTACTTTATATGGCATACTTTATAAAAATTGTAGCTGCAGCACTAGAGAATCTTGCAGTGAAAATTCGTTGATTCTCGGAAACCATTCTCGTTCTCACCAAAAGCAACCCATTTTTATATAAATATTATTATGTTCCTTTGACAGGTAATCACGGTTGTTGATAGGAACGAACAACATAAAATTTAACTTAACTATACTACGACTTTTGAAAAAGTGTTCTATAAGCAGCTGATTCCACTTCTAAAAGGTAAGAAAAAAAGGCAGTTTACTTATAAAAATAAAGTATCTTTAACTTAGAAAAATAAAGAGTAGTTACTGATTGCAAATGTGCTAGTACGATACCAACACTTTCTGACGCTCCTCAGAGATCACTTTCAGATCTCTTTGTAGAGGAACGTATAATCCCTACAGTAACCTATTTTGAGTTAAATCAAGGCTTAATTAGACCTACCTTGTTACCGTAAATCCTTTCTTGGTAGATTACTGTCGTAGCAAACTTATATTTGCTACTGTACTAAAGTAAAGCTAATTTGGACGTAGCTTAACCTCTATTCTTACAGTAAATTCTTACCTGTTGAATTACTATTCTTATCTATTCTTCAAAAAGGCTCTCATTTGTTGAGTCCGTTATAGTCTCAGCTATTCGCAATTCTTGATCACTTTAAGATTATGAATCAGAGGTCAGCAAAGAAACACAGAATGAGTTTATTTTTTTGAAGAAGAAAGACTCTAAGATTAATTTGATACAAAACACACAAACAAATATTACCGGTATTCACGATTCCAAATCTAGTACCAACACATAAAAATTTTGAAGGAAACAGAACAAACCTAACGAGAACATATTTGAGTATACCTAGTCTCTCCAAGGAATTCAATTATAATTTTAATTACTATCCTGATCCGATATTTCAAATCGATACAAAATTGGGAACAGTTTAATAAGTTTTAGATTCAAAGTGAGAGAGACGAAGTTCTACCAGGCTGTTGTATAACAAGCAAAGGACAACAATAATAATCAAGGACAACAATTTTTAGCCAAAGATAGTCACAATCCTCCCAAAAGTTTAGAACTCTATTTTGTCAGCCTTTTGGAATTTTGAACTCCCAAAAGAAACTATCTTTTTGTTTTACAAAAAATGAAAAAAATAACAAAGAGTGCACAATTATTGCAAGCTTCGAGCATCGGCAATGCTTTGTTTGACTGTTGTGTTAACCAGTAAATTCATCTTTTCCTCTTCCCCCTTCATTTATAAAAACTCATGTCATTTGTCTAATTTGTTAACAAAATTGAACTATAGAATTTACTGTAATCCATCATAAATGCTTCTCAATTCAATGAAAAACATCGACACTCTTGTTGTTCTTAGTTCCTACTGCCGTTGTCACTTCAGTTTTTAAAAACAATAGAATATCTTTATATGTTGGTGATCGTACAGTGTGTCGTTTTTTAAGCCTGATAATTTTGTTTACAAAAATGCCTCCTTTTGCAGACAAACCTCGATAATACGGTCGAGTGGACCAACACCAAGCAGCGTCAATTTCCTCCAAAAAATGTGCAGTTTTAATAGTCAATAATGAGTTCTCTAGTTCAAATCTATTTTCACCAAAGAATTTGCCACCTTCCAGACAGGCGATGATAGATCTTAACCTGTATATTTATAAAAAAACCCTCCGTAAAAACTCACTGTGAAATGGTACGACGCAGAAGTTTTTGCATCATTTAGACTTTATATCGTTTCTTCAATTGCCATAAAATGAATTTTCTGAAATATTTAGAAAGAACACTTGTTATACAGCATGGAACGGTAGTTTGTTCTTCTTTTGGTAAGACTTTTATGAAGAAACTTACGAAGATGCAACTCTAGTTTACGAATAAAGTTAAGAGAATTTTTCGGACTTTAACTACCTCCAAAAAAAAATTTGGCGATTTCCAACCTTCTTTTTCTCGAATTCGGGCACTCAGTCGTTATATATATATAACGTGTCGATTTATGGTATGCATGATACCAGTTTTTCACACCTTATTTGTTTTTAGCGCGATCACCCCATTATTTCTACAGATAGCACTCCTTCCCTATGAAACTCGCTTAGCAGTTAACTTGGTTTTCGTCCATATGGTCAAAATATGAAATAACATTTCTGAATAATTCGTAAAGGAAAGCATTCTAAATATTTTTGGAAGCAGGTAATGTTCATCCTCTCTGAACCAATTATAAATATTTAATTGAATTCTTATGTCAAATGTTAATTCGCCTTCTTTCCCCTTGTTTCGTCCCTATCCCATAACAAAAAAGATGCCTTTTCAAATGAACTAACAAAATCTGTCGCTGCAGACTTCATAAAAAAATGCCTTTTTTCGTTACGCTCTTCTGTGTCCCTCTTTGAGCATGTTTTACCCCCAAGACATCAAGAAAATGGTTGAAAACGCCGCTTCTTTTCATTTCCTTGTTTTCCAACACGCATCGACTGAAATAAACTGTTTCTTACCTTCTGAGTGAGTGAATGAGGATCAGTGGAAGGAAGGCAGTGGAAAGCTGCTAGAATCACATCGGCTCACGTTTGTGGCAGCAGAGCAATTTGAGGAATGCAGTGGACATAATGTTAAAAGCAAAGCACCGCGCTCTCCAAAAATTTCAGAAGCGATCAGATTCACAAAGACTTTACAGAGACAGTCTTTGGTTAAAAAATGAAAGGGTATTTAAACTTCTCGAAAATAAAATAAAGAGTTGCATCGTTTACAAAGGTGCCAATTGTAATCCCATTAGTTTTGGTAGTTTCAGGAAAGACTTACAAGTTAACTTAGCTTACATTGAAAAAAAAAAAGTGAACTTTCCTCAACTGTTAACCTTTTCATATGAGTCAGTTTTGACCTTTACTTTTAACCTCTAAGCTGAGAATTCCCATATTTTAAGAATTTCAAACAATTTTGCACATATCTTAGCAATACAAAAATCCCAAGTCGCCATGCAACCAAAAATGCTCAGATGAAAAAAAAATCAGTAAGAAAACTTTTCCTATCATCTGACTTCGAATCCGGAAAAAAACGTATAGCGAAAATAAGATCAAGATGATTTTGACTGTGTTATCTGAGCAAATGGCATTTTGCCAGCGTATGATAAGTTTTCGCTGCGTGATCGACAGTGAGAATGAAAATGGCGACTGATGATATACGACGACAAATTTCAGTAGTGTAATCCGCCTAATAAATTTGTTGAGCGGTAGACAGTTTCTATTCTAAGGTGGTTGAAAAAACCCTTTCAGAAGTTCTGAAGTTCTTTAAGATCCATTTGACAGTTAATGTCGCAAACCCGTCTTCATCCTTTTTAAATTTTGTTGAGTGAACTAAAACTTATTTGCAGTTTATCTATCTTATCACGTTTTGTATTCTTCGTGGTTACAGACATGTTTGAATAACGAGGTGGAGTTTCATACAAACAACTTTTGTGCAACTTTTATAATTGGCTGTCAGTTTTGATGGTCAAGCCTTAAACTTACGCACTTACGGGTGATTTACAATGTGGGTTTGACTCTTTAGCTTTGGAAATTTTCGCAGTCAGGGTCGTTCCTCTAAAGGAATAACCATTATAGTTTCAAAGGAAATATGTCGCGTTTGAGTAGTAGAAATTTTAGACAATTGATTTTGTCTTCTTCAGCCTAAGAATGTCACCTTTGACTTCTGTGGACTATGCGGCAGTGATCTGTAAGATCAACAGAAACTTGATTTTTGTTATTCTGTTTTAGGAGTTGTTGATAAACTTGAGGAATGACTGATGAAGGCGTTACAACAACAAGACGCCGAGTGCTATCAGATGAGGAGCTGAAAAAATTTGTTTTTCAACTGAACGATGAAGATCGTCGAACTTTGTTGGCTCGTTTTAGTAAATGCGGCAGAGAAAAGTTTTTCACTCAAAGTAACTAATCTTTCATCATCTTTAAAAAACTGATAGACAAGTCATTATTTCTATTTGGTTCTTGCGATTATGTCGTCTTGATCGACTCAAACCGAGTTACTTTATGGACAAAAAACTTTACCAAATGAAAGTCCAATTTTGGTGTTTAACTTTGTTTTGGTATACGATATGAGCAAATTTTGATGCCACGAAAAGTATAGCGCAACTCTGATTTGCATATGTGGAAGTTGCATGGATCGATTTTGAATTTGAGCTTAAAAAGTTAACATTTTTGAGGATTTACTGTTATTTATTAACTCTTTAAAAAGCCTAGAAATTTCTCTCCTAATTCTGTTCTAAATTGACCAAGAACAACCTTTTGTTATATACTTGTTACAATATTTCCAGGTTGCCAAATTTACTGAATTTCCCATTTGTTTACTTACAAGTCGAGACGAACTAATGTTGTAAATAAATTTCGGACTTTTATAGTTGCTTAGTTTGCAAACAGCACATCCCCAGTAACATTTCAAAAATTAAATTTTTACTTTCATTTTCCAGAAAACATCAATCCCCCTAAAAGATTTTTGGTAAACAATTCTGAAAAGTTCAAAAGAAAACCGAAATATAGCTCTTTATCGATAGAAGTACAGTTTGTACCACGGTATAATTTTCACTTTTAAGCCGTTGGTAGTGGATTTATAGCACTTTCCTAATATGTTTAGGCTTACCACTAGCGATTGCTGTGCCTGGCGCGCTTTACATATTTCGCGAACCTATATCAAAAGCGTTAAATATGCGTCAGTTTAAAATCTCCTTTTACCTTTTGACAGCGGCTGCTGTAGCTGGGATTGCGAACTTCCGGGCTTTGCGCGGTGAATGTAAGCAACGTTCTTTGGCAGAGATAGAAACTTTAATTGAAAAGGTTTGAGTATTTCATTTTATGAATTTTATTCAAAAATAGTTGTTTTTTGTAATGAAAGGAGCTTTACCGTGTAAAACCAAATGAGTACAGTTTTTATTTCTCCGCAGTTTCAAGTATCTTCAAAGAGATAGGTAGTTATTAGGCTAATAATATTTCATCGACCGATTTGGATTGATTCCTGATCAGTTAACTTTTTTTTAAGTATAATTATTCTCCGGGCAGCACCCCCAGCTATGCAGACCTAAGGCTTCATAATCGTAATGCAGCAACTGGTACTCCAGCTTACAGTGCGGAACCATCACCTAATTATCAGTTCGCTAACTCTCCTGTAGGTGGAATGTCGTATGATGAGCTTAGACAACAGAATCGTGGACTGGAACCAAGAGCTTCCTTAGCTCAACGTGATAAGCAACTACAAGACTATGGAGGACGTCCAGAATCAATTGAAAATATGGTCAATCAACCTCCGATGCCCGAGGCAAGAAGTCACGAAGGAAGCTATGTTCCAGTTGGCTCGAACCATGTCCCAAAGAAATTTCTTGGAGGAAGTTCTTCCTTTCAAGACGATGCGCCTCCACTAATGTCTGGTACTCCTGTAGGGAATACTAAAACTTCTTACGGTGATGAAGGGTTTTCTTGAACGTTTACTGCCGGGGCATTTTTTGTTTTTCCAATGTATCTTTCTTCTTGCTCTTTAGTCTATTCTACTTTTAATTAAAAGAAAGCAGCGCAAATCAGATTTAGGACTCACATAGGACTATGCACTAGTTTCTCTGTTTTCTTCACAATCTTATAGGTCATTTCTGTGAGTTGGCTGTTAGTTCTTTTAGCTTTGTTCTTTGCGAACCACGATTTCTAGCAAAAGATTTTTATGAACTTTTTGTTCGAGTGATTGAGTTGTTTTGTTGGTATTTTATGACAACTGGAAAATATTTGTCGGTATTTCTACTGCGTTAACCGTAACAACAAGAAGTTTTCTGGTTAGAGGGCTGTGTTGTTGGCGTGAAAACCACTCTTTATTATTTTTTTATTGCATATTTTACTGTACTGCTATGTTTCTTGGTTGTTCTGAAGTTGTCACTGTGAACGGGTAACAAAAAAGCAGCAGACAAATCGAATAAAGAGTTCGCTCATATTATGCATTAAGAAGAACTTGGGTTTGTTTTAAAATTTTTGGCTGCTTATATTTATTTTCTGGTACTAGTAAGATTGGTCCTTGAGCTGACACTGAGAACTTTCATTGAACAGTACGGGTTGAATTAGGCAGGAGTCTTTCCGGTAGTGATATGAGGCTGTTGCTTACGGTGCAGTTTTTGAAATTCTAGTCAGATTTTGAAAAGCTGAGAAGTCTTAACGCTTTTCGAATTCAAAGGTTGTATGTGTAGCATCAGACCGCTACTTGACCACGGGAGAGGTTCTAGTCAGATTTTGAAAAGCTGAGAAGTTCTAACGCTTTTCGAATTTAAAAGGTTGTATGTGTAGCATCAGACCGCTACTTGACCACGGGAGAGGTAGTATTAATTGTAATAGAAGCGCAAAACATAATTGAAGCTGTCAATTGACAGTTGACTTGCCTTTTCAGTTAACCAGATTAATGAGTAAACATTCTATTGGTTAGAAAAGAAAGAAAGGTTATTAAGAAGCAGTAAGGACATGTCCAGCGTTTTTTGAAGCCGTCCACTGAATGCTTTTGTAAGATGGGAAAAGGGTTCAGAAGCAGTGCTTTTGGGTAATGAACCACAATGATTTAAGCGGCTTGGTTATTGAGTTATGTTTTTTTCTTTACTCGATTACGATTCAATTTCTGTAGTTCTTTATCGATCATGGGAGGCTGGATATGCTTCGCTTTCAAATCTGCGAGCAAAACTTAATCATTTCTATAACTGTAAACAGTTGATTATGTATGCTGAGCCAAAAAAAACTACTGTAATAATACGTTATTAAATAAGTGGTGACAGAAGATCAAGAAGCGTAAGTTATGGTCTTGAATCATTCTCTTACATTTAAAAAAAGCTGTTGCTCTATATGACGATTATTACCTTGAAGTTTAAAACATTTTCAACCGTACTAGAAGTAGCATTTAAGCAAAGAAAATTTGCTGCGAAAATATTTTAACAGTTACCAAAAAGTCTCGACTGCTAAAATAACTTGTCATATTGGCAGATTGGCAAAAAAAAACATTGCAAAGCATTATTTTTTTTTGATACCACCAAATACTGGTTTACCAATTCAAAACACTTGTTTGATAAAATATCTGGTTTCATTTATATATCTATGTATATAAATGCATACAGATTGAGTACTGTCGTCGATAGCAACAGCAGTACTGCTTATTTGTCGATAATGCTGCGATAAACAGTTCTGCTAAAATATAGTTTACCAAAAAGCAAAATTTAAGAATGCTGTTAACAAAACAGGGTATATAAAGGGAACTAACAAATGGTAATTTTTTGTCAGTGTTAACCAGGATTCAGATAAAGACGGTTTTGTCAGCTGTATATTTCTAAAGATAAACTATTGTTTTAGTTGTTGTTGTTGCTGCTGATGATGATGATGATGGGCTCTTCAACAAAACTACTTCCTTTTGCCAAATATTTCAGGGCTGGATTGCCCAAATTTATGTTGCTGGTCATAGTGATAATTATATAGGTATTGTACAAAGCAAGCAGACTTGGATCTTTCATTTGTAATACCTGTCCGACGATTGAATGATCAACAGTTGTGTGGAATTTGATGTACAGTAAACAATTTGTTATCAATTTAATCAATTCTAAAAAAAAAAAAAAAAAAAAAATTTTTTTCCTTAAAAAAAAAAAAAAAAAAAAAAA